ATATATATATATATGTGTGTATATATCGTTAGATTTGTATGTTTGTAATATATCATAATATGTAACATAGAATAATTCGAATTTTGTTGAGTTCAAATATTAATTAATAAATTGAATATATGTTATTTACTTAAAGTTAATTAGTCATATCAGTGTGAAACATATTGTAAAAACGAGAAAAAATGAAATAATACAAATATATAACGAAAGTGTAAAACGAAGTATAGAGAGAAATAAAAGTCTTGAATATTCTTAATTGTGCCTCTATGAGGAGTAACTAATAGTTATAATAAATAGTTCATTAACAAAGAAAAACGAATATGATCGTTGTAAAATATATCAGATGCAAATAATTCATATTTTAGGATCTCGCTCTGTAAATATAAATAAAAACATTACATTTAATAAATTTCTGATTGAATGATGTGAAAATGTGTTAAAGATATTTGTATGTTTGGATGTGTTAAAAGAAAGAAATCTGATAAAAGAAATACAGAAGTATAATAATATCTAATAAAACATTCATAATTTCATAATTTTTTTTAATATGTACATACATATATTTATATTAAGTAAATTAAGAAACCAAAATAATACTTATGAATAGGATTATTTTTCAAAAAACATAATTTATTTGTGTATTACTAGAGCAAAATACTTCGATACTATATCTTAAACTTTTACTATTTTCTCATTGCTGTTATCTTTATTGTATATAGTCAAGTTTTATTATTTTAATATATTTTAAATATATTTTTAATTATTTTTATAGCATCGGAATAAAACGACATTGTTATACAAATTTGATAATTATATTTTTAGTAATAAAAAATCTTGAAAAGTTCATCATCAATTTTAAAATTTTTTATTAAAAATTTGAAATAGTAAACGAATAGTAAGAGATACCAATAAATACTTTCTATTCGATTTAATTTTTATCTCATGAGAATATAATAGAATATGAAATGTACTAATCTTGAAAGAATTTGTAAGAGTTGATATAAAAATATGAAGAACTAATTTTTAATTAGTTTTTAAATACATAAAGTTATAATGATCTAAGCATTTTAAAAAATTTATAAATTCAATTGTTTTTGAATGAGTTTAATTTGCAAATAAACAAATTTTGGAATTTAAAAAAAAGAGAATTTTATTAATTGTTTTAACAATCTTTTAAATATAAGTAAATAATCTTTTAATTATGTATAAATTTATCTTAATATAAAAAATGCAATAATTTGAAGTATATTTCTTATTTCTCAAAAATATTGTTTTTTATAATACAATATAAAAATACTTTTAATGTATACAAAAAATAATTTTGAATATAATATCGCAGTTATCGAATTAGTTGTGGATAAAATGAATAGTTGGGATTTCCCAGTTATTTCATTTTGCTAATAAAAATATCAGACTTTTATGACATACCAAATCAAGCAACCTTGGATATCAAAATATAAAGTAACTGATTTTTTTAACAGTCAAAGTCATTCATATATATTTATTTGCGTTCGAATTATTATTTTTTTCATTTTTTTTTTAAATGTTCTAACACATTTAACTTAAACAATTTATTAATTCCTATATTTTATTATTTTAATAAATATTATAACTTTATGTTTCAAAATAATAATAAACTAATTAAAATATTAAAATAAAGACAATTCTATTAAGGAAAATCTAAATTATATAGTTTAAAGGCAATATATATTTATTAATTTAGCAATAAAAATTTAACAAAGAGATATAAATATAATTAAAATAAAGCGTAATAAAAAAATATTAATTATAAATTGTACATGAAAAAATTATATATATGTAAAATATAAATCATTATATTAGCAGAAGTTAACGAAATAATAATACATAAATAGTACATATATGAACATGAAGTACACAATAATCTTAATAATGAAATAATCGTAATGAAACAAATAATAGGAAAAAAATAGAATAAAAATTCGGAAATATGCTATTTCCAAAATGTTGCAGATGAAATAAGCACAATAAGAGCAAATTGTAGAATAAAGATAAAAATATAATAAAAATTGTATTATTAGTACCATTTTCAAAGTGCCATTCTACAAATGAAACATATATAAATAAAGTGATCAAATAGTAAAAAAAAGATAGAAATAAGAAAAAGTTGGTTATTAATATTATTTTTTGAATATCAATGATATCTTTTTAAAATAGAATAAAATAAAATTTCTAAAGATCAGCGTTCTCTCTTCATAATTTTTGAATATTTTTGAGTATTTAAATAATGATACTAATTTTCAATTTTTATTCTATTTTATTTTGTCTTTCTAAAGAAATATCTCTAACATTTGACAGATGGCATTAATGGTTATTTCTTATTCTATCTCTGTGCTTCTTTTATTATTTGCTCTCTTTGTCTATATTTGTTTCGTTGTGACACACTAGAGATGGCGTTGATTTCTGAATTTTTATTCTATTTCCATCTTTTTCTTCCTACTTGTCCTATTAAATGTTAGGTCTATTCTGTAGTTCAATTGTGATGATACATATATTATAAAGAAAAATATGCCAAAGGAATATAATATCATTTGAACTAAAGATGAAGTTAAAATTGAATTCATGTTACACATAAAAAAAGTATATATATTTTCGAAAGTACTAGAAAATTGTAGAACATAATCACGGGAAGACATTACGTATAACTAGTTTCATTATAATCAAGAAGTGGCGCTAGTTGTCCATTTCTGGAGCTTTCTGAAAATCTGCGCCGGCTCAAGAGTGTGCATTCACGAGTCATCACGTATCTTTGCAAGCATAAAAGAACGAGTTGCGAAAAATAGAACGAAAGTATCACTGTTCTGAAGTCAATCGTAATGGACCAGGTAAACATTCTTATCATGTCGATTGCCATTATATATTTCGTAAGGTTAAAAGCACTGTGTTTATTCACGATATCATCCATTGAACACGCTTTGCTTTAAAAATTGTCTTGCTTGTCTTATTGCTTCCTGCAATATTTTTCTCGTACATTCTATTAGGTTGTTCCTAAGAACATTAATTCTTATTCTTTTATTTCATTTTTTGTTTCGAAATTATAATTATTTAGATTTATATAATGGAAAATTCGAGATGTTTGTTAATTAGATAACTGTTTTAAAATTTTTTTTAAAAAGAATATTTTTTATTTTTTGTTACTATTTGTCTTTTTGAATTATAATTGTGTATATTTAATAATATCAAATTATTAAATGTGTGCAGGTATATTTACTGAAACAAAAAGGTAATTCTGCTTTAGAAGAAGGAAGATATGAAGAGGCTATTAAACATTATACAGAAGCAATTGGCTTAGATGAAAATAATCATGTTTTATATAGTAATAGATCTGCAGCTTTTGCTAAAGCAGGAAAATATAAACAAGCATTAGAGGATGCTGAGAAAACTGTGAATTTAAAACCTGATTGGGGAAAAGGATATTCACGTATGGGTAGTGCACTAGCTTATCTAGGTAAATTGAATGAATCTATTAAAGCATATGAAACTGGTCTACAATATGATCCTGGCAATGTCCAACTTCAAAGTGGTTTAGCTGAAGTTAAAGCTCAACTTTTAATGGCTGCCAATCCTTTCAATAGACCAGATCTTTTTGTAAAACTTGCAAATGATCCTAGAACTAAAAGCTTTTTGCAAGATCCAGGATATTTAAAACTTTTGGATACTCTTAGAAATAATCCAGATGCGACAGCTCAAATGTTATCGGACAAACGAATACTTACTACTCTTAGTGTATTATTGGACATGGATACTGATGTAGAAATGCCAATGCACAAAGATTCTGAATCAGAATCTCCAAAACCTAAACAGGAACCACCTAAACCTCAAAAGAAAGAAGAAGAAGAAGATTATAGTACACCTCAAAAGCAAGCACAACGTGAAAAACAATTGGGTAATGATGCTTATAAACAGAAAAAATTTGAAATAGCTCTTGAACATTATAATAAGGCAGTTGAATTAGATCCTACAGAAATCATTTACTTATTAAACATAGCAGCAGTATATTTTGAACAGAAAGAATATGATAAGTGTATTTCTCAATGTGAAAAAGCTATTGAAGTTGGAAGAGAAAATAGAGCAGATTTTAAATTAATAGCTAAGGCATTTACTAGAATTGGACATGCATATAAAAAAATGGAGAACTGGAAACAAGCAAAGGTGTATTACGAAAAATCTATGTCAGAACACAGAACACCAGAAATTAAAACTCTTCTTTCAGATATTGATAAAATTATCAAAGAAGAAGAAAGGAAAGCATATATTGATCCAGTAAAAGCAGAAGAAGAAAAGGAACTTGGAAATGAAAAATACAAAGAAGGAGATTATCCAGCAGCAATAAAACATTATTCAGAAGCTATTAAAAGAAATCCTGATGATCCAAAATATTATAGTAATAGAGCTGCTTGTTATACTAAATTGGCAGCATTTGATCTCGGATTAAAGGATTGTGAGAAATGTGTAGAAATTGATCCAAAGTTTATTAAAGGTTGGATAAGAAAAGGTAAAATATTACAAGGAATGCAACAACAGGGAAAAGCTCTCACTGCTTATCAAAAAGCATTAGAATTAGATCCTTCAAATAGCGAAGCATTAGAAGGATATCGTTCATGTGCTGTTTCTGTTAGTTCTAATCCTGAGGAAGTAAGAAAGAGAGCAATGGCAGATCCAGAAGTTCAAAGTATATTACGGGATCCTGCTATGAGACTTATTTTAGAGCAAATGCAAAGTGATCCTAGAGCTTTACAAGAGTAAGTACAATTAACATATTAGATTTATCAGACTAAAATAAAATTGCTTACTTTTTATTAATATTATTTTTTTTTTATAGCCATCTAAAAAATAAAGATGTAGCAGCAAAGTTGCAAAAACTTTTGGAATCAGGTCTAATAGCTATTCATTGAAGATGAAAATGTCCGTATTTGTGCATAGCTCTGTGCATGACATTTTATTGTCGCCAAGTTCCTTTGATATTATGGAAACAATGCTGTTCGTTCTATTTTTGTGTATTAGGAATATGTTATTTAAACAAACAGGTCACCTACTGGCATATTCACTTTATATCTGTGTTCTGAAGAGCTATTGTCAAATATAAGTTCCGTTGTATACAAATATTTTCGCGTGAATGCAGTGGCCTTCTGGTCATAGACCACTTTTTCATTGTAAATCTTCGTACAATAGTTATGTATGTTTTAATATGTCTTATAGAGTTTAACTCTATCAACTTATTATATAATTACAAGCTTTTACATAACTTTTGCATAAAATAACTTCCAATTGTAAATCATCAATATCAATGACATCAAATATGTTAGTATATTTTAAATTTGTTACATACACTAAGTTAAATCAAATTATATTAAATCCGATTAGCCTTGATAAACATTTCCATGCGTCAAACGTGTATTTAGATTTATTTTATATATAAGCGAATATAGTTTTGGTTTAAAGCACTAATATTGTAATAATAAAACAGGATAACAATAGCGATAATTACAGTAATTATAATAATAATAATTGTATGATTTATTTAAAATCAAATTCAGTTCAATATAAAAATATGATAAACAGTGTAATTTTAATCTGTTTATTATAATTTCTCATAAAAATATATGAGAATTCCTATGTTTATTGATAAAATTTTTTTACATTGAATTTATTGTACTTTAATATAGATATAACAGATCATATATATGTTTAAAATTTTCATTTTGAATTTAAAAATTTTACAGAATCATTTTAATTAATGATAATTAACAATAACGATCTATTTTATGTTAATAATAATGGTGGTAACAAGTTAAATATTAATATGAAAATAAAATCAATTAAAAACGATCGGACAACAAATTTTTTTCATATTAAATTTGAAATAAAATATTTTCATATTATTATATTAACTCAATTTATATGAAATAAACACACACAAATCGATTAAATATAACGTAATCTATATTATAAAATTAAAAATATATGAAATTAAAATATGTGTAAATAGTATGTTTTTTGTAACAAAGCATATAAATTTAGGAAATCAAGTTTTCAAAATTAAAACACAAATCTGACCCATTTTATCTCGTAAACATTTATAGATAAATGCAATTATTTTTAAAATTAGCAATCGAAATATTAACTTGATGATAATTCGTCATTCGATGGTTGAAATCACAAGAATTTTTGCTGAATTTTTCTATCTCTTTTTTTCTTCTCTGATAGCTCGGTATTTACAAGTACTATACTTCTCTCTCATAATATATGGAAGTAACTCGGAGCGTCACCTAACGTTGCAAAATTAGTTCGCTTTTAGATAGCGCACTGAGTAGAATTTCACTACTATTATAAATTATTATAATTATCAAGTTTATATATTATATTTTCTTCTTTTGTTTTATTTTGTCAAAAGCAAACTTTTTTTTACATAACCTTTCTCGTTAAAACAAGATGTAACATGAAATATTATAATATTTCATGTAATATTTCGAAAATATTTTCAAAGAAAAATTCGAAAACAAAAAATCAAATATATACAAAGTCAAATCAACTGTCAAGACGAATGATTAATAGAATAAGTAGGTGACATTGCTTGTGAATGATTAAAATATAGTCGAATATGTTTTTATTTAGAAGAAGATACTAAAAATCAATTAATTATTTTTGCTGGACAGCTATGTAAGTAAAAGCATATTAAAAAAGTAGAAAATAAAGATTATGTATACAATGTTCTGTGTTTGAGTATGTGTATACGAATCACGTAGTAATTTTTTTTCGATAAGCGGTAAAAAAGTTAAAATTTTTGAAAATGTATTTAATTCCGTAAGGATATCGATGAAGAATAATATTTCAGAGAATGAACAATAAAAATACAAAGATCAATGTACTAAAAGTCACACCAATTCCGAAATTGTATTTAATGAAAATCTCTAAAACAATGCAATATTATATAATTATGAATTGAATATTGTAATTATATTTGTCGCATAGAAATCGATAAGAGTAAACATTAGTGTGGATCTTGATTTAAATAAAAATTTAAATCAGTTTGTGAGTGACAAAATTCAAATTGAACGAAGTAATTCCGATAAAAATCGACAAAGAACAAAGATATGAGACATATCAATTCTTGGAAAAACCTCAAATTGATGAATAACGGATTTACTATATACAGGATAAGAATAATGATATGTAAATAATCTACATATGTTTTTTTTCTTTTTTCAAAATATGTTTGATTTAATTAACAATAAGCAATTGCTCGAACTTATTTATACAATAGCTTATGTGTTTCACTATACAATTGTAAATGTCATTTTTCTGAAATATTTTTATTTTTTGGGGAAATTTTATAATAATATTTGACAAGTAGAATCCATAATATCGATTTTAAATTTAGGAATAGTTAATTCAAAGTTATATATATGTAGCTATATATTTTTAACTAGATATAATTTTTTTATCCTTATATGATGCTAGTTATAGACAATTGAATTAATAATTATAAACAAGTATACGTGAAATATAATAAACATTTAGAAAAGATAAATAAAATTCGAAAATCGATAATGATCCTACAAGGATATACAATATTGAATTCATATATTATACATATATTATATGGATATATATATTATGGATCATGATCAATGCTTCATTGTAACAGTTTGATTAGCTATTGCATTAATACAAGTTATGATATAATATGATATTTTTCTTTAATAAGTCATATATATAATATCTTTAATAAGTTAAATAAGTTATTAATAATTTATCTTTTTTTTCTTATTTCAGACAATATTACATGATCTTTTGTGCATTTTATAGAAGATATATTTAGCTTAATAAGAAGGATACATATTTACGTATTTTTTAAATATTTTGAACTATGATGATCATCTGTATTTTACCGTATTAGCATGTCAATCAAAGATAAATTATAAGATTACTTTTGGCAGATGCAGATTCAGAATTGAAAAACTTTTGTGGAAACAGTTTTTCATTTGGCACATAAGATCAGCAAAAAATCTTATTGATTCTTTAATTTTTGCGGAAAAAAATTATCTTTTTCGAGAAAAAAAAGTATCTGTCTTACTCTAAAATTTCGAACAACAGAATTATAAAGGTAATTGATGGATTTATAGTTTTATTATTCTCTTTTTAAAAAGATAATCTTTTTTTTATTTTCTTTCATCATTAAAACGAAATTTTGGTTCCAATTAAAAGTCAAGAGCTAAAACACTTTAAAGATATAATCAATAATCAAATAAGATAAAATTCAATAATCAATATTAATCAATTTAAAACAAATTTAAAACTTCAAGTGATATTTGCAGTGATTTAAGTGATAAATAAGTATTCAGAGAATTTTATGAATAAGAAAATTGAAAGAAAATGAGAAAAATGTTGCGATATTAGATCGGAATATGCATGATGGAATTTTGGCATGTTGATTGTGCATATATTACATCTATTACATCACCATATTATATACAATGATATAGAAAGCTCGAAGCAAATATTTTTGATATTTAAAAATTTTTAGATAATTAGATAAAAATTTTTAGATGTCTATTTATATACCATGATTCGATTTGACTTAAGAAATTCCACAAGGCATAAAAATCAATGGATATTATTATTTTTAAACGTTTTCCGCGAAAAATATTCATTTTAGAAATAAAAAGAACGATAAAGAAATTATTTAACTTTATTTGGAAGAATCAATTATATATTTGTAAGTTATGGATATCATATATAGATTATCATATATATCATATCATATCGTAGTTATTTTTCTTCATATCTTTGATATTATTATATATCTCTATAAGAATAGATAAAGATTTAAAAGATAAAGATTTTTAAAAAAGGGGAGATAAATTTACTATAAAATGAATAATTATATTTCGTCAATGTACATATTATTGATGATAATAAGGCATTATTAATTTTAGCATTTATTTAGATTAATATTTAATTTGGAATTTCTAATGATGATTCATCTCATCTTTCTATCTATATTTTTTAAAAATATGTGATTCGACCACATTGTTATAAAACCATGTATTTCTTATTAAATAATTTCGATTAAGAAATAGAATACTAATTTTTTTTTTATATCACTTGTTTCTTAATTCTAAATATTTATTATTAATTTTTTTCTTAATTCTAAAATAATATTTGAAATAATAAAATTCATATATTAATGTAATGTATTTTATGTATCAGGACAAATGTGTTTACACATAACTACTTCAATGGATTAAATATAACTCGTACGACTTTTGGTGTGTTGCGGAACAGATCTTAATGCCAGAGAAAGATTGACAGGATATACGGATTCTTTATTTTTCAATAGAAAATAATTGGTTAATAGTTGCATTTTTTCTTGAGATTCTATTTAAATATTATGCCGGGAGCAATTAACTTTGCTATATAATAATCAACTAGTAAGAAAATTAGTAAAACTAACAGTAATGCCGGAACTGTTTTCTGAATCTGACAGCAGTGACGAAGAACTTTGCAACTATTTTTGTATCTTAAACAAAACTTGTGTGCATTAAACTGGAGTAAAATTTATCATTTCGTTTATTAATGTTTCAAATTTGTTTGTTGCTGCAGAATCGAAATTTATTATTTATAATTAATTAGAATATTGTTATTCGATATATATATATCATTAGATTATTTCATACATTTTTAGAATAATATTATAATTATACATCGCGAAAAATATGATATAGATAATAGAAATATTATAAAATCCGAGTGAATAGTATAAGTATTTGTTTTTGTAGATAATTAATATCATATCAAAATATGTAACTATATACTTATAAAATTGTAATGTATTATAAATTAGTAAAAATCATTAATTACAATTTTATGATTAGTCTAATTGTAATAAAAATTCATAGAATATTCTAGATAGAGAATAGTTAATTATTCCAAGAAAATAATTTTTAAAATTTAAAAAAATCTACGGTTATAAAAAGTAATAAGATTGAATTTTATAATAATTTTTACTAATATATAGAATATTAGAATATAAGAATATAATATTTTTTTTTTAGAATATAATATTATATATATTTTAT